TCCTCCCTCATGCACTCGTCTTTTTTCAGATATGTCCTGTTTTCATTTTAAGGCTATAATTAGCTTGTTGTGTGCAAAGTGTGACCTGCCTTCTCTCTCTTTTTCTTTCCCTCGCACACGTTGACTAAACCCTCTCTTCTTTTCTTTCTGCTCAGGCATGGCTGATCTGCTGAGGCTGCTGCTCCGGGTGGCAGAGAAAGCGGCTAACGTGGCTCGTGTCTGCAGGCAGGAGGCTCCCCTCTTCCAGCTCCTCGTACAAGAGAAGACCGGAGATGACAAGAACAAGAAGTTCGTCCAGGACTTCAAGACGCTGGCTGACGTGGTGATCCAGGAGATGATCCGGCATGATGTTGGTGTTAAGGTAGGAAATGTCTGGACTAAAGCACGGGCTGTCATAATCCACTGGTGCTGGTCTGTAATCATGTCCTGTCTCTTCTTTCGGTCAGTTCCCTGAGATGGCGGACTTCATCAATGGAGAGGAGTCCAACAAGTTTGAAAATGGGCTAGGTAATGACTTGATATCTTACTTAACACATTACATGTTCATGTTCTTTTTTTTGGATGTTAATGACTTTAAGCTCAAAGCGGACTTTAGTTTGTCAAAATCACAGTGGAGTTTGGACAGATAGTGATTGTATTAAAAAATAATTACAAGTTAAGAGCTGATTATTTTGGTCGACACTGAGTCCAAAAACTGCATTTTTGTTTTTGGTTTAAATGTATTTTAGGATTTGCAACATGAAAGTATCAACAAAGCAGTACCTTCATTATGACCTACTTTGTTAATCCTCTTGTGATATGTCTCATCTTGAATAAATTGATGTTAGGGCCGTAACAAACAAGTAGTTATTTGGTCTGTTAAATGTTAAAAGGATTGAAAAAGGTTCACACAATCTCAATTTCCAAAAGCCCAACCTGATAACTTCTCATGGTGTTTTTTGTCAAACTATTTATCTCTGTAATATAAAAAAAAAATATTTACAGACTTGGAATTAAGGAAATTGTTCTGCCCTTTTAGCCCAAATGATTAATCAAGAAAATTGTCTTCAGATTAATCAAATGATGAACGGAAACAGATAAGCTGATAACAACTAAAACAATCTGGTGAGTGTCGTGGGCTGCAGGAATATAGAAGCTTTTGTCTGTTAATTATATGATGGAAGATTAAAGATCGAATGAAATAATAATCACTCAACCTTCATTTGGGTGGACCCAATACTTTAAACATTATAAACACTTGAGTAAATCATCTGCAGTTTAACCTCAAAGTCCAACGTCTTTCATCTAAAATAATCAGAACAAAAAGCTAACACATCAACGTGTCACTGTCTAAATATTTAAGCTCACAGTGTAAATATTTAAATAATCAAAGGAGTACTTGGTTTTCTCCCTCTGTTAACAGGAGAGAGTGTGACGGTGACAGTGTGCGCTACAGAGGAGGACACAGCGGCGCTGCTGGCCTCCGTGCTGGACGGCGACCACACCGCGGCCTCTCTGCTGGCCCGGGCCATCCACCAGGACCCGACGAGCATCCAGGCCGACACCGACGGTCTGACTGTCCCCCTCAGCCCCTCAGAGCTCGGGATCTGGATCGACCCCATAGGTGAGCTGCTGTGTTCCTGTCTGATGCATTTATCCAGAAAGCACAGCAGAGATAATAACTGATTTATTTATTTTTTTGCATTAAGATGCCACCAGCCAGTACATAGAGGGCAGAGAGGAGGTGCTGGAGGAGGGCCGCCTGTTCCCCTCAGGTCTGCACTGTGCCTTGGTCCTGATCGGGGTTTATCTCCGCAGCACAGGCGAGCCCGTCATGGGCGTCATCAACCAGCCGTTCAACTACAAAGACCCAGCAGGTGGAGGGTGAGTTTAAAAAACATCTGTAATACTTCTTCTTTTTACATCGTACGGTTTCTACACTGTTCTGGTTCCCTCTCTGCCAAAGCAACGGCCTCAAGGTCTGAAAAGGGAAGCCAATGCTTAAATTACTTAAATCTGCATCCTTTATAGTATCTAGCGTGGGGCAACTTCAATAGCTGCAAAATAAAAGTCAGATTGAATAGAAGTCTATGAGAAAATGACCCTGCCTCTCACTTGATTGATTACCCCAGTAAACATTTCATTGAGTAGTTTATGGTCTCGATTACTAGTTTAAAGTCTTCTTCAATACAGCATGATGTTCATTTTCCAAATAATGGTCCCATTTAAAGTAAAACAGACGATACAGGTGGCTACCATGGCAGTGTCCGGTTTAGTTATTGGCCATATTTTAATCTTAAAACTATAACTTTTTCACAGTGGGTTTACCGTTTTAAAATGTTGGTCCCCTAAAAACGTTTTGTTAATCTTTCAGTTGTACTTATGTGATTACCTGTTCATACAGTCTATGCTCTCACTGCTCGTATGCAGCAGGCTCTAAAAACGTACTGTTCCTGATGTGCACTAGATGTCAGACAGAGAGTAAAGTACAATATTCTCACCCTAACACTCATTATTTGTGTTAATAGCTGGAAGGGGAAGCATTTCTGGGGGGTGTCCTGCGGCAGCATCAATGTCTGCTCAGAGACCCGGCCTAAAGCAGGACCTGCGGGGGGGCTGTCTGCTGTGCTGAGCTCCAGTGAGAAGCCGGTGGTAAAGGAAGCCCTGACCTCACTGTGTGGCCCGGACAAGCTAATGTTCGCCTCTGGAGCCGGATACAAGATCCTGTGTGTCATCCAGGGCCTGGCTGACGTCTACGTCCTGTCGGGGGGGAGCACCTTCAAGTGGGACTCCTGCGCCCCTCACGCTCTGCTCCGGGCCCTCGGAGGGGGGGTGGTGGACCTCCACAAGTGTCTGCAGTCCAGCTCAGGAGCAGAGGCAGAACTGACCTACCACCAGCCCCGCACTGAGTGCAAAGGAGCGGACCGCTGGGCCAACCATGGCGGCCTGGTGGCGTACAGAGACTGTTCCCAGATCAGCCGCATCATCGCCCCTCTGAAAGGCAAGCTGTAGCTGAACCAGCCAGGATGTAACCAACACAAGCTGAAGCAGCTGTTGTTGCACATATGATCATATTCTTATTTTCTGTATACGTAGAAAGAGAAGGATAAAGGTGCAGGAGGAAATATTTTAAACACATATTGTCTTGTTTTAAATGAGATATATTTGCAATAGAGCTGCAAGTATTTTCTTACGATTCATCTGCCAGTTTCTTTAATGTCTTGTTCCGTCAGTCCAAATCCCAAAGATATACAGTTTAATATAATATAAAACAGTTAGGAAAAGATATCACTATATTCGAGAGGCTAAAATGGCTTTTCTGACATTTTTGCATGAAAAATTATTATAAAAACTAATTTTTGCAGGTCTAGTTTTCAAGTGTTTCCGTAACAAGATAAACATCTGGTCTGGGCCAAAAACATTTTTTAAAATACTGTCTATGCTTTTATTCACAAGGTTGTGGAAATTCAATGGGAAACCCTGTGCTAATCAATCAAAACCAATAGCATTTAAAGATTCCTGTCTGGCTCTTTAGATTTTGTCAATTTGTCAAGGAAGCCTCGTGTATTTGATAAAATAAAAAAAAGTGGAGGTCGAATGGAGGACTGACAGAAAAAGATTTTCATCATGACAGATGAGTAGGACTTGTTATGTGGGCCAATGTGACAGGCCGCAGACAGCTCAGACAATCACAAGACTCTTTCAGGCAGTTTCACTTCTACCATTAACCGGCTGTAGCTCTGTGACAATCCAACATGTCAGCTTCCTCATGGCAGCTACAACACTGTAAGCCTTTTTGTGCATCTAGTTTAGCTCAGAGCTTGTTGAGCATTTATTATAATTATGTAAGCTATGTAAAAGTATATATACATTTGCTTAAAGACAGGTAATCATGTTAAAGTTAACAGGAGGAACAGTGCTCACTGCTGGACAGCTGAGGAACACTTCACTGCCAGAGGAACGGAAATCACAAGATGCCTCCGACTCGTCTGAGGGAATTATCTTGGATTCAAAGGAGTTTAAATTGCAGTTATAATAGTCCTATCACGTTTTTTTTCCAGCCCATCTAGTCTTAAGGGTTATAATAAGTCAAGAAAATCAAATTGTCCCATTCACAGTAATCTGCACCTCTCTGAAATAACTCCTTTTAAGGAGCAGACGGTAACCTGCCCTCTCTCCATGGCCATAGCACCATGAGTCAATAAGGTCAGAGGATGGAAATTCCATATGAGGTAAAACAGTGACAAAGAGTGCTTTTCGGGTAGGGATTACAGTCAATTAAATATGAAAGGATGAGAGGTTTATAAAGTTATCTTAAAAGTCCCATGTCATGGACATTTCTACTGATCATAATTCCATTGTTGAAGTCTACTAGAATAGATTTATATTGTGCAACTTTCCAAACCTCCACATTGGTTTCTCCTCATACAGCATCTTCTGGTAAAGTACTGTGTAATTCACTCTCTGTTCCTAAACGGCTTGTTGGAGCTCCTGCCCCCCCCTCTCCCTGTGAGCCCAGTGGCCGTCTGCGAGACACAGCGAAACCCAGGCCGAAACCAGGCCGAGCACACACCCACACACACCCGCAGTCTGGCTGGGAGTTTGTGTGTGTGCTCACGCACAGCCTCGCTGCATCATGCCGTCTCAGGCTGAGAAATCCGCGGAGCTGCAGCTGAGAAAAGATTGAGTGTGTGTGTGTAATGGACCAATCCCCGGACTTAACGTAACGGCTCCACGGATTGGTCAAACACACACACACACACACACACACACACACACACACACACACACACACACACACACACACACACACACACACACACACACACACACACACACACAGGTAATAACCAGAAAAGCATGACATGGGACCTTTAAGGAATAAGCAGATTTGTATCAAGATGTTTTTAATGATCACTTTGTCACTTTCATTGTCACTGTATGTTTAAAATGGTATGACTTTGATATGCATTGTTGTATAACTGATAAATAATTTGTGTAAAGGAACAGAATCACTTGTGCATAATAGGAAATCCTCTTTTATTATGAAAACCAGAGAAAGCGGGGGAAAGAAACCCAACAGTGATATTTTCAAACTGTTTACCAGCCAGGGAACTCGCCTCACAATTCCCTACAAAAAACCCTGATGATTGTCAGACATTTTTTGCAATACTTCTGCATAATCTGTTAAAACTTGGAAAAGAACAAAATGTGAAGTGTTGGCTCTTTCATTAACCTCTTGGACTTTAACCTGCTACCTTTAACACACAGCCCGTACATTCTGGAGTCGAGGTGTGGAGAACAATGCACTCTGCTCAGCGTGGTTTCAGCTGGGTTTCCCAGACAGGGACTGAATTACATTTTGACGGTTTCTTTGAAATTGTAAATAGGAACTGAGGTTATCAAGGCCTAAATGAATATGTAGGATGAATCACTGCATGTGGTCGATATCAGTTCTGATGATTTATTTCTGATTATCACTCGATTAATTTTACCCCAGTCCAAATGTCAAAACTAGTTTAAGGCCATTACATTTTTCTAACATAACCTATAACTTTTCTTTTATGCAATAACGCTTTCCCCCCAGAAATTATTATTTTTTATTTTTAAAAAGGGGCCATTTTAGTATAATGACTCAATCCATGTCTGGGAAACTGATCCAATGAGTAAAGAGAAAACTATTTGACACATGAAAAGAAACATGGCAAACTTAATGACCTGCTTCGATGAGCTCTAGCAACATTTGCAACAAAGATTCAAACCACCATTATGCAATCTATTGCCAGAATATAATTCTGACACTTGTGCTACGCCAGAGCTTGATGGTCATGCAACTTAAATGTTGTTTTTTCAATAATTTGACACTCATTTAACATTCAGATTCTACCCAAAAATAACTGTTATTTGCAAATGAGCTGTTAGCTTAGCGAGCTACACCTCCTACTCAGTTGCAGCTGGAGGAGGCTGTTAGGCTAAATCACTGATGACTGTTCAAAACCCTGCTGATGTTATTACAGGGGCGGATGTGCAAATTAACACAACAAAAGAACATTGAAAATTGTACTTTTCATCAACTGTCATTATAAAAAATAGCCTTTATCAAATGCCTTATCACACATAATTGCCATTTATCTATACTCTCACAAACTTCACATATCAGGTGTAAACAATAACATCTGTTTTCTTAAATTAACCGATGATGAAAAGAAAATTATTTCTATGCAAGAACCATACCAAAAAACTAAACCAAAAGTACAACAAATTATAATTTTCTGACCCTTCAAGTTGTCAAAAGTATATCAGCTTAATTAGATTCTCTGTGCACTTGTGACCTTGACATTTTAAAAGATTAACCACATCTAGGTGCAAGGGTTAACGAGAAGAAAACACCCGTTTAATACGCATGACAGCAAAACTAAGAGCCACATTATTTATTCCTTAAACTGAAAGCTAAGATGACACTGCAGGATGAAACAAAATCAACAAATTAAATTATTTTTAAACGAGCTCAAAACGTTTAACAATGTTGATTTGAATTGTTATTGTTTTACCAAGTTATCTGTGTGGGGTTGACTGGGTGAAAGTCATTACAGAAGAAATGAAATGAACAATGCTGAAGTGAAAAAAAAGGGAATTGACAGCATTGTGAGTTTTTATACAGGTCAGGCTTGTTTCAGTTTTTGAAATTAGCACATTTTCTGGTGCAAAATGAAATACATTTAAGACTCAAATGACTGTTAAACTTTGTAAATCGTTCAAACTGTGGCAGACTTTTCACTCTGCGTGGTTTTACAGTGAATCAAGCGGGGGCAGTGCAGAGTAGTGTTAGTATGTGGTCTTTAAAACAGAAATAAATCCCTGGTGAGGAATAATATCAGCATTTCAAAATGTCAAGGTGTCACTTTTAAAGTTTTGAATCAAAGCAGCTTGAGTTCAGTAACACAGCTGAAGTCCTTCCTGCTTAACTTGTTCAATAATAACAACATCAACCTGGAGCTGAAGCACTGAACAGCGGGAACACTTAGATTTGGATCAGTATTTCAAAGCAGATTTATTAATTTACCTATTCAGGTCAAGATTTGAGATCTTCACTCTCCTCTCTGGCTCAGGGGCCCTTGGTAAAAGAAGTTTATAAATGCAGGATGTGTATCTCTGGTAACTTCCATCCGGTTTTAGCATTTCAAATTCTGCACAAACGGCCTAATCTTTAATAGTCATACATTTGAAAAGATGTGTAACACTCACCACTGAAACTGGACTAGAGAACACAAGTTTTTTGTTTTTTTTACTTTGACCTTTCATTGAGTTACGTTAACTGATATTTAATTATTTGTCTGTCGGCACACTACCAGAGATACACACCATACTCTCAGATATTACTACAGCTCACCAATACAAATGTTGCAACTGCCCAAATTTGAAAATTTCCTGCGCTTTTTGTAAATTTGGTTCAGATGTGTTGGGTTTCACTGTTTTTGTAATCGTTCTTAAAATCATATGTTGGCAAGGTGAAACATGAGTAACCACTGACAGTAAAGCTGCCCACATCATTATCATCACCTTAATCACATGATCCATTACTCAATGTAACCCTCTGTTCAAGTGTCACTCACTCCGCTGGGAACCAACGTCTTCAACTAAGCTTCTGAAAAACATCAACAAAAGTGAAAAAACTGAAGTGTTACATTTCAGGTGAATAAATCATGCATTGCAGGATTTGGCAGGAAATGATGAAAGAAAAATGTTTTATTACAGCATCCTGATGCGGATATCAATGCCAAGGCTACAGTTGCCTTAAAGACCAACGAAAATATAAGGTGAGATGAGAGGTAAAGCACCGTCACAGCGTCACCTCTTCCACTCTCCTTCAATACTTCAGATCACACTCTGCAGTCTCTCTCCTCTGGCAGATCTGACCCATGAATTATCTCTGGTTCAGATCTTGGCATGCCAACAGGCAGGCGTGACACACATGGCCATTATTTACCGAGTCCCTGTGTTGCTATGTTGTTTCACTGAGAGGTTAACAGCCTTCACCTCTGGAAGGGTTTGCGGACCTTCTTCCTCCTCCGGGGGGGTTTGCCACCCTCAGCCCACGTCTCGCTGGGCTCCGGTCGCTGAGCCCCCGGCATGAAGAAACCTGTCTGGCTCGGGGGAGGAGAGAACGGGGGCGCTGCAGCCCCAGGTGGGTGATGAGGAGGGGGGCCCGGGGGGAAGAAGCCCCCGTTGCTAGCCATGTCATTAGGAGGTCCGCCCTTGAAGATACGGTTGAAGAAGTCCTGTAAATCTGCAGGGTTGGTGGGAGGTGTGGCGCTCTCTGAGGGCGTCCTGGAAGTCAAAGTTGGAAAGTTTAGATGTTTCGTTCTATTGAGATATCGTATTCTGCAACATTGGAGGTATTAAAGGTCACCTATTATGCAAAATTAAATTTGCTATGTCTTTTATACATAAATATTTGTCCCCACTGTGTTAAAAGATTCTGAAAATTTCTGAAAAAAATATGAAAATGAGCTGATCCAATTTTGGCCACTTTGTGATGTCATAATGGTTTGTTGGCTTGTGTAACCATTAGCCAATAACCAACCAAAGTAACACCCCCCCACCTTATCACCTGAATCTCCTCCGAGAGCACCACTGTGTTTTTTAAACCAAATGTCTCTCAGAGGGGCGTGGCCAGCAGCAGCTCATTAGCATTTAGAGCTACAGATACAGTATCAGCACTTAAACCAGGGCTGACACAGAGGGGTTTATGGCATGCTACAACGATCTGTTTGGTATTTGGAGCCAAACACTTCAGAGACATGTTTTGTTTATATCTGATACGTATAAAATATTGTTGAAAAAGAGTATAATAGGGGACCTTAAATGAAGAACAGTTTAATCTGCCACTGGTATTTACTTTTTACTTTCAAACAGAAAAACTATGGCTGGCAAAATGTAGGCCTGAATGGGGTCAAGGAGGATGAACTTGTAAATGTTTTAGACTGAAAACAAACACTTGAAAGGACATACCTTTGTCGTGTGGAGGTGGTGTTGTTCTTTGCACCGAAAGAGATGTGATACGGCACACGGTGCGTGTCAGGAGAAATACCTATTCTTTGGCAACCTGCCCATTCTGAAACAAGACAGTGTCACAAAAATGTACATGACCGAGAGGAAAAGTGCAACCAGGAAATGCTTTGAAGCTTTTCTATAACCTGCCATTACAAGTAGGGCGGAAACTAACAGTATAATCGATTAGCAAAAGAAGTGCTCTTTCTTTAAAAATCTGAAACTAGTTGATTAGTCTTTGCAGCACTGTTACTGCTGAGAGGAGCAGATGATCTTTAGAAGAAGCTGACGTTCACCTGTAATGTCATACACCTTGCCATCCATAAAGGCAAAGTATGTGATGCGTAGGCCCAGCATGCTGGACTCGGCCCACAGGTCCCCTTCCTCTGCACTATGGCAACGGTTGCATTCAGCACAGAACCGGGCCTCAGCAGGTTCACGATCCATCTCGAACCGCCTGCACAGACACAGGTCACGAAGGAAAAGGTTATGAAAGTTTACCACATAATACACGATTCAGCTGTGTGTAATACATAACGTTAGTCTGAAGAAATATCTGACACTGACTAAGATGATGTAGTGTGTGTAGCGACGTACTTGTGTTTGCCTTCACACTTAGTACACATCATGGTGTTCATGGCTTCCTTCAGGTCATCCTGCAGTTTAGTGAGGAAGTCGTTCATGGACTTTGAGAGCTCAGTTGCTGCCATTCGCTTCCTGCATGGGACCGAAATAGACATGTTTTTAACAATGAATATAACAGGCATAATGACTAAACTCTCAAGTAATTATTGTACAATTGTATTCCCATTAACCCAAATAATTTCAGAAGAAAACGCTGTTATCTATTATTAAATAATAGATGGTTTAAGACAAGTTTTTTATTTACTATCATTATTTTCAATATTTTCTAATTGTAGGACATTTGAATATTGAGGATGAGATGAAGTAGAAAGGATTTGTTTTTTTTAAGTATGCTACTCGTTACTATGTTTTTGATTATGCTTGATTTATTTTTTTATAATTAACTTCAAATGTATATATCCTTCAATAACAACTTTTTTGTGCACTCACAACTCATATTCTTGTCGAGTCTCTGGATTACTGACAATATCCCAGGCAGCCCTGAGTACTTTGAACGCCTCTCCAGCTCGTGGGTGTTTATTCTTGTCTGGATGTACCTGAACAAGAAGTGAAAAAGTTAAAGGCTGTACAAGTAAAAAATGTAGTCCTCTTTTGATTAACACACACCTGTACAGCAAGCTGTCTGTAGGCCTTCTTTAGTTCAGCCTCGGTGGCGTGCACCTCCACCCCGAGCACAGTGAAGGGATCGAGCTCCTCCTCTGGTACCTCAGCCAACGCCAGCAGTCTATCCAGCTCCTGTCCTGGCCCGCTCCTCCCCGCTCTGCTGGGTGAGTCAGGGCTGGACAGGGGTGCACGGCCATTCCTCCTGAACTTGCTTCGGACTCTTTCCAGCAGGGACCCCACCCTCTTCCAAAACCTTGACTCCTGAAAGGTTGTCCAATAGCGCTTTCCCCTTTCTCCACTAAGGCGACCCAATGCACATTTTGCCCAATAGTAACCCAGAATAACCAAAGCACAGAAAAGTCTCAAACAATATAAGGCAGTAGTCGTTACCCACTTCACTGACCTAACAGTTTTATCCATGAGGTCCGTTCCTGTGCATTTAGTCCATTTCAAAACCAGAGAAGCGTCTGCCTTCAGCCCTGCTATATCTGTGATCTTTACGAGGACCTGCTGCCCTAGGCTGTAAAGTTTCATTCCTCCAGTCTCAACACAGACTCCACAGTTGTGTGTTAATGTGACAATAATCTCAATCATCATGTGGACGCAGGAGATGCACCAGAAGCTCACAGACTCCGACAGCATCTCCTTAAAAGCTAAGAGGAGCTGGTTTCCTGTCCGCCTGCGGCCTCGGCTCTGATGGTGGTGGTGGTTACGTCTGCGGGTCTGCTTGTGCCGGCCTCCACTGGACGTAACATTTCCTTTAGGTAGAGAGGAAAAAGCACTTTGACTGCCCTGCTCTGAAACTGATCCACTGCTCCTCAATTTAAATCTCCGACCAGGACCAAGATTCCTCCAACTAGACTCCCCGTTCATGTGCTGCTCCTTCGCAGCTTCATCCTCTTCCTGATTTATAACATGCAAGTTCTCTTGATCTGCAGTGTCTTCATGCTCAGATCCATCTGAAACCTCCTCCGTATCCTCTTTGGCCTCTGGAGATCCATAGTACCCTGCTTCACCAATCCAAGGGTCATTTGGAGTGGCTGGATTTGGGGTGTCCTTAGATGTGGAATAGGCTGTTTGGTCCTCCAGCTGGCATTCGTCATCAGTCCGTCTGGCCTCCCACTGACCACACTCGGTCACTGATGTGGAATCACCATCAGGGAACTCCTCGTCAGCATCGGAAACGCAATCCATATCTTTCTCAGCTTCTTCTCTCTCCATCTTCCTTACAGCTGTTTGTTTGAAGTGTTGGGGAATTGGAATCTTATGGAAGATTATATCCTAGATCCATAATCTGTGGCAACATTTTCCCCAGGCCCTCGTAAAAAAGTGAGTCTGGGGGCTCCTGAGGGATAGTCTCAGGTCCACCATATCAGCCGCCTCTTCCAGGTGTCAATAAGGCTTTATCACATCTCACATCATGCATCAGGTGGTTATCTGAAAAGCAGGAAAACTTAAAGCTCAGTTTAAACCAATATTGTGATAAGCAGAATAGAGTATTGTGACATACAAAACATTCCAGGTTCAAGGTTCCCAAATGTGAGAACTTTATGCTTTTCTGCTTTACCTCAACGGAATATCTTTGTGTTCTAGTAAACTGTAACAGGCAATTTCATTATCTTCCGACATGTTATCGATATCGAAGATAATAGTTTTTAGTTTTCCCTGCTGCTACTAGTAGGCTACAATCAAGATGGAATGATAAAAATAGAATTCAACATGATATCGAGGAAGAATGAGTCATTTCACTTAATGATTAACTTACATGTAAAGCAGATACAAGACCTTATCTATCTAGCCTTATCTATCTAGTATTTGTAATAGTGAACTTGCAATAATTAGGACACACACACACTTGCTTGTAGACGTACAAAATGTACTAAACAGATTACATTCATGGAACTAATACTTAGTTGTTGGCTGATCCAGTTATACAATGAGGAAATGCCGTGTTTCTAGAAACGAGCTAACGTGACATGAACAAACGTTGGAGATTTTAGAGCCCAATAAAAAGCTACGAAAACAGCCATTATAAAGCGGGCAAACTGTCTGGCAGACTAATTAGACACTCATTTAACACCACCATATATTTTAAAGGCGGCTAAAGTTAGCAGAGTGTTAGCATGGAGAAGCAGTCAGCCAACAGGATGACAGACAGTCGTTAAAGGAGCTAAAATTAGATTGCTATCTGGCTGCCTAACATGACAACATTTCGACAAGATACGGTCTCAGACGAGGATTAAACGACAGCACAGAAGCAAACTTGGAACGTATTTAACTAGCAGTAAGCCAACCGAGCAGCTAACAGTCAAGTGAGCTAATAACAGCAGCTAGCCAGACATGCTAACGTTAACACTAGCGGCTGTTCCCCCTCATGTGGGGAGTCAGCTAAGGCATGTTGTAGACACCAACCTTACCAAGCGAGGAAGAAAATCATCTTACATTTTGCATTCAAACAAACTAGATGTCATATATACCTCTCAGTTAAGTGTGTAACCTTGTTTGTTATCAGACAGCCAAGTGCCCGTGTTGTTTTTTTAGCCACTTCTTCTTCTTCTTCTTCTTCTTCTTCTTCTTATTTGCTTCACTTGGCAGATCCATACTTACTTTCAGGTGAATACCACCACCTACTGTACCGGAGTAAGTAGAGCAGGAACTAGTTTACATGCATCTCTTTTTTTTTAAAGTGCACTGTACTATTGTCTACTTATTAAAAATTAGGGTACTTGTAGCAGGCTACCTGAGTATTTCAATGTCAAGCTGCTGCTCTCTAATCTAATACAATTCGGAGACTTATGATATAGCTTTTTACTCCACTGCATTGATCCAAAATCTTGAGCTTCTTTAAACATTCATCAATACCTTCACTTAACAGTAGTGCACATGGGTTTATACATCTTATTTTAAGGCATAGATAATATTTTATTCATTCATGTATTTTACTTCCCATTTAGCCTGACCTACAGCCTACGGCAACCTTTCTGACATTAATCCATCCATCTATATAATGCATCGTCCCATTATTCCATAAGAACATTATTTTACAAGAAAACCGGTAACCCTAAAACCGTCTCACAATAAATACAGTAGATGTATTTGGTACGAATGATGGTAATTAAAAATCAAATGAATAATGAGCATTTGGGTTGTAAATCTAAAAGCAGATCATGGCAAATCATGCAAAGTGCACTGAGTTCTACAACATGTGGTTCAGTATTAGCAGTGCAGTGGGGCAATCAAAAGTATATTATTTCCAGTGAAATGTTTATAGGCATAAACTTATATAAAAAAGTTAGATTTACCACTTGGTGTATATGTGAACATTTTCACACACACAAAATAATACAAGCATGATAGAAGTTGAGGGATGGGCAAGACTGTATGGCGTAACCTGTACTTTCAGGATAAGCCTACTTTACGACCCACCTCCACAAACCAGACCACTGTTGATTAAAAAACTCCCAACTCCTCATTGTTCTTTATTTAAGTATATAGTGGTGGTAGTGCTGACTACTTGTTTTGGAGTCTTTCACATGGAAACTCTGGGAACCCCCCACAGCTTCTGCATAAAAGACACATCTTGAAGACGCAGAGGGTTAACTTCAAGCCCCCACCACCACCCACATCTCCAATTTGAAAGCCGCCTCTCTACCGGGAGAGGAAGGCTCTTTTTCGGTCAGATGGCGTGCTGCAGTCCGCCCCCGTCATTCTCCAGCCCACACAGACAGGGCAGCCAGCAACCAATACGCTGCGCCGGAGGAGGATTTCTGCCAGTGATTTCAGACGAGCTACGATACGCAAAGGGGATTTACTACGCCAATCTGAGCTGGGGAAGCTTTCGGCGATAGGTAACAGGGTAAGAAACTTATAGGATAACAACTGCGATGTGTTTTAGGGTGTTTTCTACGAACATCTGGCTGAGGAATACTCGATGGTTTTATCTAATGTGCAACCAATATTCCAAGTGTTAATACTTTTTTTTGTACTCTATTCTAAATGTAACCTGCGTTTTATCTAATGTGCAGCCGTGTCTCATTGTCATTATTTTTTATGTTTTTTAGTCACTCACTCCGGGAGTAGCCTACCGACCTTGGAGATACACCATTCTGTAAAAACTCTCTGCACATCGGTCTGACCTGAATAAGGTAAGAGAGCATTCTCTGTACACCATCAATCATATAAGGGCTAAAAGAAAAAATAATTTAAGAAAAAGAAAGTTGAACATGGTTTGCATATGTAAGAAACTACTCCAAAGCATGCATCAACTTTTTATATTCATGTATTTTTTATAATAATAATAATAATAATAATCCTTATATTTATTATAGCGCTTTATCAATGAATCTCAAAGAGCTTTACAAATACACATTACACATACAGATCATACATGTAATGGTCATCTACTATAAATGCTTTATCATGATAGAAGAGGTGCAGTTCAGATGACAAAATACAACAAGATGTCTAAACCTGCAGGTTCATGTCTTCCTCTGCCTAAACTTTCCACAGCTGTGTGCCATGTCTCTGCCTCGCACACTTGGGGAGTTGCAGCTGTATCGGGTCCTCCAGAGGGCCAACCTGCTGGCCTATTATGAAACCTTCATTCAGCAGGGTGGTGATGACGTGCAGCAGCTCTGTGAGGCAGCAGAGGAGGAGTTTCTGGAGATCATGGCTCTAGTTGGCATGGCCACCAAGCCACTGCATGTGCGTAGGCTCCAGAAGGCCCTCAGAGACTGGGCGTCCAACCCTGCCCTTTTCAGCCAGCCCGTCTCAAACGGTCCTCTGGGGGGCATCCCACTGTTCAAAGTGGACGGCACAAGCTCTGGTGGATCGGCAGGCGGTCCCAGGAAGTCTCTGAGCAACGGGCAGCCTGGGTCCCCCTGTGAAAGGGAAGATCGGGCGTGTCTTACTCCGATGCACAGTGGGAGTCCCAGAAGCCCTTGCTCCCAGGCATCCCCACAGCCACCAGACTCACACTACAGGGAAAAACTGTCCCCCATGGACCCACACTGGCTCACCCCAGAGCCCGATGGGAACTGCAATCTCTCATCTGGACTCGAGGATGAGTCTCCCAGCCCACCACTGATGTCAACATGTCCTCCTGGTCCCTCTTCTTCTCCAAGCCCCTCTGCACTGTCCGCTTGGCCCGGAGGACAGCTGGACGGGGAGACGGCGAGGGCGGTGGTGGAGAGCGTTGACAGGCTCCTCAGGACCCTGCCCAGGTCAGATGCTGCAGAGGTGAAGACTCTTCTAAGGATGAACAAGAAGATGGCAAAGACTGTGGGACACATCTTCAAAATGGGTTCCCAAGATGTTAACAAAGAAGAAGAGATCAGGAAGTACAGTCTCATTTATGGACGCTTTGACTCAAAGCGGAGAGAAGGGAAGCAGCTCACACATCATGAGGTAAAAGAGACAAAGATGACATTGTTAAACATAGGGAGATAGAAGAGTTTGGAACATGTATAAGTGAACATTTTGCATAAAATATCACACAGACAATGAATCCATTTTAAAAATAAAAGTTCACAATCCAGAGTGCTGCTATTTATACATTTGTATACACAAAGTAAAAATGTATGTATTGTCTGCATTACATCTTTAAAGCCCTTTCCCTCCTTCACTCAGTGCTTTTCCTCCTCAGTTGATCATCAACGAAGCTGCTGCCCAGTTCTGTATGCGCGACAATGCCCTTTTGCTGAGACGGGTGGAGCTCTTTTCTTTGGCTCGGCAGGTGGCGAGAAAATGTGCCTACACCTCCACACTAAAGCATGCAAGGTAGGGACGCTGCCTGGAGAGAACAGTAATCTAGTTCACCACCAGCCAGTAACCAACACACCTCACACCTCGAGAAAAAAATCTGGAATATAGATTTAATTTCAATCCAGACCCAGCAACATGGAAACTCTGAAAATAAATTCATGGTTGAGTAGCATTTTTGTTGTAATCAGTCATATGGGAAATAAAGGAAATCATAGCAGAAAAACTCACTTATGAGTCATAGTCCTACCGGTGCATTTATCTTCTTAAGGAACATGGTTCAGAACACATGGGGAATTAAAGTCCAAACTCTGTGGTGTAAGAATGATGAGCAAAATTGGGGCCACACAGGAAAACAGAAATCCCCACTGTGTGTTTTACCTTGCATATTAGATTGCTATAAAATATAAGCTTTAATGAGGGTTTCAAATTCCCTTGTTTATCAGTGTCATAATTCCAGATATCATTGAAACAACTATATTTTAAAATTCTAATATTTTGACCAATATACAAATATATATTTGATATCATCCCCCCAAGTCCAGTTAAAAAAGGTGTAGAATATGTCTATTCTGTGTGACTTATTGTCTCTTGCCGCAACTTGACAAACACATTGTCGTGATTTACAAAAATAAAAACCTAAATCGTCTTCATCATTCACCTGCCGAAGAAGGAGAAAGATCTGTGAAAATAATGTGTTAATCACATTTCTTGTAGCTGAGGTCACAAACAAACTCTTAATTTCATTTCACTGTGTTTCTCCTGCAGGACAAATGCAGATGAGAACAGCCTACTGTGCCAGAAGAGAGCGAGACATGAGGTGAGTTTTCATAGAAGCACGGCTGCCATTAACAATACTCAGTGACATAATTACTTCCAATAGATTAATGTGTGTTTCTAACAAACGACCCTGTGGCTAAACGTAGCCAAAGTTCAAGTTACAAGTCAGTCATTTGAAGTGGGATATGAGCACTAAATTGTCAGTGATGTGTTTTAGGTAATTGTGCCTGAGAGTGTGTCCTCACTTCTCGGAGTGGAGAGCTCTGAGGGCTTGACCCAGAGGGCAGATGATGACAGCTTATCTGCAGAAAGCCTCGACAGTGTATCACATGGTAAACACTTCTCATCTAAATCATTAAGATATATAAACGGGTCATCATTTAATCAGCTGATCTTTAACTCCAGACATTCTTCATATTTATTTCTATAAGAATTTATCATTTGTAGACAGCATTTACACCCAAATCTGTGTGTCCTGTTAGACATCGGCTCACAGTGCAACCAATCTCCATCCCCCCGTCCCCACACCGACACGTCCAACCCTGCCAACTGGAGTCGCCATCTCATACAGCAAACGCTAATGGACGAAGGGCTGCGATTGGCTCGGATGGTCTCACATGATCGGGCCGGCAAGATCAACCTAGCGTCAGAACGAACTCACTGTACAGGTGACTTTTCCAATAATGACTTAACTATTACTGCTGCAACTTTTAAGTTTGAGTAATACAGCAATTGTTTTCAATGTTTTCAATATATTGTTTTGTCTATAAAATGTGAGGAAACAGTAAAAAAAAAATTCCAGTCCAAGATGGTGTCTTTAAATGTCATTTTTTGCCCAAGATATTCAAAAAGCAGGACATCTTCATATTTCGAGGCTCTTGCTTAAAAGATATTTTCTCGATTGACAAAATAGTTATCAAAAAGTATCCCATTAGTCGACTTATCGGTTCAGTTTCATTAACAATAATATACGCTTAATAATGAACAAGGTCTTTTTGCAATGCTTGTCCAACTATGTTAAAAAAAAAATAGTTTGATATTATGGGGAATACACTTCTTTGCTTTCTGGTAGAGATTTAGATGATAAGATCAACACTACTTTCATATTTGAACTGCAAATAAATATAGGTTCAGCTAGCAGCTGGTATTACACTAACCGGCTGCTGGCTCATATTTAACAGACATGAGAGTGGCATCAATGTTCTAACTGTCTGTGCAAAAGCAATATGAAATATGAAACTATTAGTTAAAGTTGGAAAGTGGGGTGATTAAAAGCGACCCAGTTGACACATGGGGTTGAATAGAAAATGACAGACAGAGTCTTCCTAACCTTTGCTAACAATGAATATTTTATAGCTCTACAGCTTGATCTGTAGTGAGTCACAATCTCTCTGAGGTGACGCCTCCCACCATGCGCAGCTGAACTTCAGCAGTCTGTAAATTAGAGAGGATAGAAGTTAGAAGGGGAAACAGAGGGAGGTGTTGAGTGATATATGGAGAGGAAAGGAGTGAGAGAAGGAGGGTAGAGAGCGAGAGAGGATGGGTGGTGTTACACTGTTTTAGCACTTCTTCCATACCCTGTTACTGTAGCAATTTTCTGACGCATCACAGATTCTCACAAGAAAAGCAAGTGATCTGGGCAAGTCAGCCGTTCTGGGCTGTGTCGAAGAGATGAAGCGAGGAGAAGGAAGCCAGCAAAGACATGAGGGGGCGGGCAGGGAGGGTAGGGAGGAAGTACTCTGTGGGCGGCAGAATCGGACCCCCCCTCTCAGCAGCAGCTGACGTCAGAGTGTGTTAGGAGCGTGGGCTGAAGGGCGGGATGGATGGGGCGTGGGGGCGAAGGAGTGGGAGGTAATTGGAAGGGCGTTGCATTGACTCACCAAGCGACAGTGTACAAAAATAAAACCTGTGGGCAGAGAAATGGCAGAGTCTTTTTTATACAGCTTCTCCCACTACCAAAAGGACTGCGGAAATAACAAAAAATGACATATGTTTCATCTCTGACGTCGATCTCCCTCGTCTTGGTTCTTCTTTTTTCCGTCTCTCTGAACCAAGTTTCCTTCACATGTCTCTCTCATAACTGATCTTCCTTCATATTTCTCATTACGTGCTATCGTTTTTTTTATTGCATCTGTTCTTCATCAGTTATTTTATTACTGCTTGCTGTTAGGCCACATGGACATAGAGGTCTTCTTAATTAGCAAATTAATTAATGAATTTTCATTGACTTTGGGACACAAGTTAAGTGGTATTTAAATGTACTACTTCTCTTGCAAGCTAATTAATGCACATCAGAAAATACAAAAACAACAATGAACATCAACTTTGGTTGGATTCAATTGTTTGTATTGTTTACTTTATTTGTTGACCGCATCACCTCCTTACAGTATCACCAGCTCAAAAGAAATCTAACTTGTATTGCTGTAGACCTTTTGTTATTCAAAAGCTTGGGTTTGTCATACACCATGATGAGTTCAGTGCATGTGGGAGAGTTTCTCAGTGAATTCCCCAAACTATTATTCAGAGGTCTTGAAACACTTGTTGCATCTTGAGTAATATGACTGAGCTTGTGTACAGTATAACCTCCGTTTTATAATAACTGGCTGTCCGGGCATTGTCAAACTATGCTGTTCAGATATCACTCAAAGCACAAAAGACATTAAAAAATCGGTATTTGTCATTCAAGTGGCTTCGCTTTCATATCAGGTGATATCTTAAACTTGATCTTGCTCCACAGATCATGACGGTAAAGTGGAGAGGCGGAGCTCGATAACAACGTGCAGGAGCAGCAGCCCTTGCATCACCAAAGACGAGTCTAGTCACCGGGGAAAATGAAAAAACTCCTCCGGCCTGCCACTGAACTCTGTCCGTTTTACAGGTTGCTACTGACACTGACATCTAATGGGAAGAAGACTACAGTAATTATTTGAATTAAGGACTGATACCATACATGTGGAGTGACTTCTAAACACTGAAAAATATTCCATTTTGACTTTATAATCACTAAATATGAAGGGGAGACACAGAAAGTGGGAACATTCAATGTTTTTATATGGAGAAAAAACATAATTAAGAAAATAAATCTAGTTTTCAGGTCAGTTTTTATTGTAAGAAGTGCCATGTGTTGACAGTGCGGCAGGTTTTAAATTAAATGGGCTCTACACAGTAGAGGGCACTGTAACTTTGGAAACAGAGTCTCTTACCTTCATCCAGTAACATACTAGTTATGTTAGGGGAATCTGTTGTCATAGGTAAACTTGTACTGACTTTTATAGCAAGTAACAGGCTAAAAAAGTGTATAAGCAGCTCCTCACCCTCAGGAAAAAATGTGATATTTTAGTTTTTGACGTATGTGCATTGTTTAGGATTCAAAGATGGTAATACTCAGCTGTGTGTTCACTCAAATTGCCGTTAGGTTCAGAGGCCTTTTGTTTTTCGCTGCATCATCCAATCGCCCATATGATCTAAACAAATGGGTGGTGGTTTATTAGATACAAAGCCGCAGGTCTTCAATATCCTCTCCTTCACATCTTTATGTAATGGTATTTTGCACAAGCAGCTGGTGTCTAGAGATGATTTTCCATATTTTTCATTTTCTTAAATTCTGTGAGAATGCCCCCCAGAAAACCTTTCAAAAGCTGGTCGAAATTTCGTAAGAACACCAATGTTTCTTTATTTTATTTTCAGCTGATAGATAACATTTGAGTTGCCTCTCTACACATCAGGTTACAGGCTCTTGCTCCAGAGCAGGGAGGATGCTGCTTTTCCCCCTCCTCTTACTTGAATAGGTGCCATTTTACAGCCTGTGAGGACACTGCATTCAAAACTACATTGCAAGATTTAAAGGATAAAAAAACAAAACCACAGCATTTAAAAATAAAAGAGAGGTGATAAGTGTAAATGTTTAATGCAGTTTTATTTAGGCGTGGCGGAAACAGACAATATGGCTGCATGTTTTTCTGATGATTTCTGTAGTCTTAGATATTAAGTTAACTAATGGTTTACTTTCTAAGCTTTAGAAAAATAAAAACCCATGCAGAGGTTTACAGAAAGACATTTGCTTGACTCTCGATACAGCAACTGCTTCAAATTATGCCAGCCTATTTGACCCTGATTAAAGTTTAAGTGTTTTCAGACTTAATGTAATGCTAATAATGACTTTTTGTATGCTTAATCACAGAGTATGTCAGTGAGGTAGCTTTCTGTGCATCAGTTACACCTGCCTGTCATTTGAGCATTGATAACCTCCTCAGTTTATTATGTTGCAAAACAGATTATTTATTTTGTTACATCTCAATAAATGTTATTTTATTGCTTAAAGCGTGTTGGTTTCCACAATAAATAATTTCTTTGAGGCTTTTCTGATGTGTTTAAGAAAAGGGCTGCGGGAGCTGCGGGAGCTGCGTCACACAGCGAGCGACACCTCTGCGGTCGTATTGTTTGTTGCACTGACTCTCTGCACTGAGCCTGGATGCTGGCATGACTCACCTGTACCACCAATGTAACCAGCGCTCATTCACACAAACACACAGCAACTCTCTCTATTATCAGACAGAGAAGATAAAGACAAACAAACATCATACTACCTATAATAATTTTGTACTTTGGTCAAGAATAAAACTTCCCAACAATTCATGTATTGCCATGACGAGACAACAGACAACTACTAGTTGTATAGTTGTTATCTGACTGTTACAAAAAAAAACTCTATACAACTAAGAATACAATATTTTAAAGGGGCCCTATTTTGCTCATTTTCTGGTTCATATTTAGTGCCTCTACTCTACATGTTTGGAAGCTTTAATGTTCAAAAAGGTCTTACATTTTCTCATACTGCCTGTGCTGGAGCACCTATTTTCACCCTCTGTCTGAAACCAGACTACTCTGATTGGTTAGTTGGCCGGCTCAGTTGTCATTGGTCAACCGCTTAGAGATGTCCCACATTCACATTCAATTTGTTGGAGCACTAGCCAATAGAAGGGTGAGTGTTACGTAGTGGTGTAACTATGTCCCGGACGTAAACAAAAGCGTCCAATGGAGGCATTTAATGCAGGAGGGGAGTATGTCCGAGGGACGTGAACTTTGGGATTTAAGCACAAAAACGTATACAACACACAACAGGAAAGGGAAACCCCCTAAAGCTTAATAGGGCCCCTGTAGCCTTTTATGAGCTGAACATTCAACTTTCGTGGCCTTTATGTTGAAAAACGCACCACAACTCATATACAAGGAGCTTTCTGTACTTTTTCACTATGGACTCTTTTTGTAAACACAGTAAACACAATCACAATAGGTCAGCATTAGGTACATAATCTACAGAGGATCAATGGGGAAAAAACTGATCCTTTGACTGAAGAAATATGGCGCCACCACCAGGTCAACATTTCTGTTTATCAAATTGTTTGGTTAATGACCATAAACCTGCAAAACATACAACATGCCTATCATAACCAGCAACTGTAAGAATACTAAAACGCTAAACTTCAATGGTAAACATAATAACTTTTATAATTATTTCTAAATATCCACATGCTAACTTGCTAGTTTGAAGCACCGCTGAGCATGGCTATAGACCTACAGTTCTGTACAGTGTTTCAGTAGGCTACTGTAGACTACTGTAGTCTTATTTAATTTCAAGTCCTCCATCAACCAATGTCACATACACCCTGTTCAGATGTTAAAGGTGAAGTTCATGCAAAATAAATTGCTTTTTATATTTGATTACACCAGACAAATGATCCTTTCCTCTGATTATGTGAGCGACAGTAAACGCGCAGCAGATGAATGCAGCCGTCATCATCAATCAGCTGTCAGCAACAATAATCAGGCACTTTAATCTTTGAGTCTATTCTTAGCTCATGCTCTTTCTTCAGTAACACAGCAGAGCAGCATACAGATTATCAGTGTAATGCCTCACAGCAAACATTTGAAAAGCATCAGGAAGGATATTAATGAAATTAGTAGGTTTATCATCTGCTTACACATCTTGAATATTTTAGGATCTTCCAGGTGAGCATTCAAATTCCCCCATTGCATGCAAATATGGGCAATATTAATAAGGATATTTGAAAAAGTTAAGAGTGCCTGCAAAGCAAATTTGAAAATCTTGTAACAAAAGGTTTTGAATAATAAATTTCTGCAGATTTAATTATTTATTATTGTTTTCTTCAAGCTTGCATAGATAAAGTGGAACTGCAAATGTAAAGATCAATCAACGTACATACTGACATGATTTTTACACCAATTTGGAAATGGCTATTCTCTTACAACATTTAGTTATTATAATAAAAATGTAGAAAATGTCATCTTAACCCAAGGTAAACTAATGTACAGTTACATAAGTGTACAATAATCACTGGTCAGTGAGTGCTGAACCCAGTCCCAACCATTTCATAACAGGTTAGCAACAACAGCAATTTGAGACGACGATGATGTAAGACATGTGGCAGTTGATGCTCCAACATGTGGAAAGAAAGATTTTCTGTCTTCAAAACAGATATAATCTCCTTTTCAAATAGTTACTTAAGATCATAAACCCCAAATAGTGTATCTCTTTCCAAAACTACCTTTGTTAAACATTTTTAATTAGACACAATACAAGCCAAAATGACTTTGGTGCTCCATTTTGTTTATGTCCAAGAGCGACAGTAATATTAGGGTTTCAGATTGAAAAGAGGAAAGAACGCCAATTTGCCTGAACATTACAAATCACCATTTATTTCAGAGATTTATTTCCCTTTAAAGGCCGTGTAAGCCATCAGGATCTTATGGTCTTCAAACACATGTAATATCTATTGATCTCATTACGTAGAGCAATGTTTCTATTATCCAAACATTGTACTTCACCAAAGTAGGAATGGAAGTTTCACAAGTTTGCATTGTATTTCTAGCTAGCTTATCATTTAAACACTGCATTGTAGGGTAATGTAAAAAGTGGACTCAATCTGAAGCCTTGATATTGGCACCTGTTTTTTTGATCATTTTCATTTTGTTTGTTTTCAAACAAGAAGTGACAAGAGAGTATTGAGCTAAATACCAACCAAGACATGTTTAGTCGACCAAAATGTTACAATTAACTTTCATAAACTGAAACCAAAATGTGAAAGATATAAAGTTCTAAGAGAAGTAGCAACGGTCAAGCAACCTGTTGGTAGCCACCTCCTAAAGCATACCTTTCTTATCATCTGTTTTACTATATGGGCCCACAATTTACAAAATCAACATATTGAAGAAGACTTGAAACATACACTCATCAGGAAAACATGAATCTTGGAAATCAAAGTAGAAGTAGTCTCATTTTCTTTTGGAACCACTGGAGACTTTTGTTGGCTATTTGAAAGAAAGCAGGCATGTTGGCACTGGCGTCACTCTTGTTGCTGAATGATAAAGACACACTCATGTCAGGAAGAGAAGACAGATCAGTTGAGTCTAGGTGACGTGGGTGTACAGATGGCGTAGGAACTCTCCTCTGGTGGCTGTGTCCCCGGGGAAAACCGCCTGGCAGAACTCACAAACATGAGACTGCAGCACCACGTCTGACATCAGCATGTCTCCAAACAAGGAGGGGCCTCCTGTCGCGGGCATCTGACACAAACACAGAGGACACGACATGGACATTTTTGAGGAAGAACATGCTAAAAATCCAATGCCAGGTTTGAGGACCCTGGGCCAATACAGGTGGGATTGTTGTCCACTGAAGAGACCTACCCCCACTGTGTGCATTGTCCTGTCTCCAATACGATTATCTGTGTGCCCCGCATCCTTTGAGACATGAGGACAGGCTCCTTGCAATCTCGGGATGTCAAAGTTTGACAGGGGTGCAACCATTTGCTCAGACTTCCCACCTGCCTTTCCCGTCTGATGAGGCACATCCACATTGCGCTTAGATATATCTTCAGCTAGGACATCGTAAAAGGTCCCCACGTTTTTAGAGAGGCCAACAACGCCACAATGTGCTGCAGGGTTGCATGATTTGGAAGTTTGACACTTTTCGTGGAAATATACAGGTATTTCTTGGGTACACTGGACAGGGATGGACATCAAATCACTCAACTCTCCATTAGGAACAGCGGTACCTGCAGACAAAGAGGCTTAGATGTTAAAAGGATAGTTTTAAAGTTGGTTTGTTTAAAGTGTTTATTTATAGCCAGTGTATAAATAGTGGTCAGCGAGCCCAAAGTTTGGAAAAAACAACAGAAGTTACTGCTCCTAAAATAAAGCAATGTACTGCTGTGGACTGGGGCAGCAGCAAGAGTGGTTGCCTCCATCTATCCTCTCAACAAAGATTCCTCTGACAAAAATCATAATATTACCTTGCAGAACTTGGGGGTTGCTAGTTTATTTGCGCTACTGTGTGTAACACAAACAAATTAAATGCAGTAAAATCTTATTTTGTTACATTTTACTGCACTCAGAATTCTATTGGAATTCATATTGTCTTTTCATTTGTTGCAATAGTCTTGGCTTTCATAATTGTAAAACATTTGATTTTTTTTAAAATTTGGTTACGTAATCTACTTTCTGTGTCTCCACTTAAACCAAATCAAATTCCTCGTACTGTATGTGTAAACCTAGTTGGTAATAAAACTGATTATGGTTATTTACTTCTTTTTGTTGTTGTTCTTTTTTCCTTTAGGTTGCTAAAATATTTTTTGCCTATGTCCTCTTCCACAACCGCACAATGAATGAAAGCTAAGATATGATTATGGGCATTTGAAATAAATTAGGCTTTAAAAGCACCTTGCTGTTTCTGCAATGCTGTTGTGAGTTGATGTAGCAGAGCTGCCTGTCTCAGGCAAAGCGACCTCAGGTGGAGAAACTGCTGGTACAGTTCACTGTAAGCTTCCTCCATCTCACCAGCTCATGGATCTGCAGATGTTACAAAAATGGAAATAAAATGTAATCTTGTATATATACAGTATACTTAGCAAATACAGATGTGTTACTTATTAGGAAAAATATTAAGAGTCATCAGTCATGCTAGCTCCTTGGCAGTACTCAGATATAGTAGAGCTTTGAGCTAAGAGTTAATGTCAGGACGAAAACATATTATTATTATCTTATTTTGGTTTGTAAGCATCAAATATTTAGTGACCCCTTGTGCCTTGTATAAAAGCACCTTCATTATGCATGTTAAGTAGCTGTTGTTTTTCTTAAATTAGCTAGAAATCAGTCTACCATTATACGTGAAATATTACTATATCCAACTTGTAAAATTACCGAAGGCATTGCACAAAAACACTACAAATCTTTAGTGACAAATTGCATACGTACATACATATGTCAGGATTGTCCTATTGTAATAGAAAAAGCTGTATGTGCTTTAAAATCTTCTCCGTAGAAATGTTGATCCTGAATGATTAGTACCATATGTGTAATACAACAACAAACACAAATCTTTCACAAGACCTTTTCTGCCTCTGTGCAGTGATTTAAACTCATACTTCTAAAATACACTGCACTGTCTTGCATAGTACTGAAACTGAACTTACCCCTTATGAACTAATCCGTCACTGAATCCAGGACTTCTTGTCATTTGATGACAGTTGTTTTTCAGTCTCCTCCTGCAACAAGCTTCCTTATTTGTCAAGGCAAGAGACACTGTCTCAGTATGCAAATCTAGACTGAAATCTAGAAATGTGTAGAGCACCACAAAAACAACAACTTTCTGACAGTGAAATCTATTTACCAGATGAAGTCTTACCAACCACAGTGAGTGAATGAAAAGTCTGCTTCTCCGAGAGCAGCAATGGAAAGTATGCTTTACTCATGTAACAACACAGTGTGTTGGAAAATGTTAAACATAAGGAAGTAGCTCTTGAAAATAGGGAAGTGTAAGCATTTAAATATAAAAGGGAACCTCGCCTTCACTCAGACTCTGCAGATTAAATATAAGCAAGAGGAAAGAGTCAGGCTCTATTTGTTGTTGCTGTTTAATTTATTAAGATGTATGCACTGACTCAGTATATCAGTACTGGTAACCCTTCCTCTTTTAAGCTCACCTGTCACTGATCCTAGAATTCAGGGCTTCTTCTCCTTTCATAAAGTTGTTATTAGCCTTATCCTTCTCCTTCAGGTTTCCTGGTATTTTCAAGGAAATAGACAGTGTAAGTATGCAAATCTGGACTCAAAACGTCTTTACGGCCTTCACTCAAACTGTTGTAAATGAGAGTCTGCAGAGCAATGTTCTATCAAGATTTTAAAATATGTGTTCAACAGGGTAGAATGTATTTTCCGCAGAATGGAAAAGGTGTTTCCTGCTTGCTATCCAAGTTACTGCACTAGTGAACTTTTCAAATATTCAAAGGCTTCATTGTTATATGCAAACGGGGGGTGACGTATTGTAACCCTAGTTATATCTCACACAGGCTCCGCCCTCTACTGGACTCTATGGGTACTACTCTCAACCATGCTATGCGAGCATTCACCTACTGAGATACATAAACGTAGCGGGCCAATCGGGGCGAGCCTACCTGAATGCGCGCTAAGGGGGGGGGTCAGATACCTACTGACCCACAGCCCCCCACCCCACTCACCAGTCCTGTGTTGCCCCAGCAAGCACAGACGATGAGAAGGAGCCAGACATGTCCAAGAGATAAAACCTTATGAAGGGGCCTGGCGTAGACCAAGACGCCGCCGTGCATATGCCCTCCACACTCACGCCGTTGAAAAAGGCTGTTGATACAGCCATACCACGTGTAGAGTGTGCATGGACCCCAGTGGGGAAGGCTCTCCCCGCCTGTCCATAGGCATGTGAAATGCACTCGCAGAGCCATCCTCTCAGGAGTTTCTTGGACAGAGCTTTACCGGCCACACCATCCCCAAAGCACACAAACAGCTGTTTAGTGCGCCTAATGGAAGCCGTGCGCCCTACATAACATGCCAGCACACGCACCGGGCAGAGGAGGTGCAATTTAGCCTCCCTGTCCCCAATATGGGGTGGAAGACCAAAACCGTCTACTGTATAGCCCTCGACCTGAACAAACTCCTTTGGTTCTTGGGAACAAAGGAGGTGTTCGGTCTGAGTGTCGCCCCGCTACGGTCACCCTCATGCCATGGTCGCGAAGCGGCTGAAGCGCTGTGGCCACACATTTGCTGAACGTGCGTGGGGATAGGGAATAGCCAAACGGTAGTCTGTTGTACTCGTAGGCTACCCCCTGGAAGGCAAAACGCAAATACTTTCTGTGCTTTGGAGCAATTTTCAACATGAAAGTAAGCGTCCTTCAGGTCGATGGTTGTGAACCAATTACCCGGCTGGCCTAGTTCCAGTAATTGGTTTACATATGAACTTTTTGCAGGCAATGTGCTGATTCAGGCAAACGGATCCATCCGCCCCGCTGGAATGGCGAACGTGAAAGGCACCGCCTCGGCCATATCCTGGTCCCCCAAATACTCGAAGCAGAGGTGGTGGGGATAGGCGCCCACTATTTAAGCCAGGGCAAGAAGGACAGGCCCGGGTCTCTAGTAGTGTCGACTCCATGGATAACTCTTTCTTCTTCTTTCAAACGTTTGACTTTCTCTGCTTCAGTTGTTGCTCGCTCGCTGAAAAGAAAAGGATGACGGGAACGGGAGGCGTGGCCGCCTTATATACGGTGGGCTTGTGCACGCATTCAGGTAAGCCCGCCCCGAGGGGCCGGCTACGGTTATAAATATACAAAATAAATATATTTGTGTGTCATTCAAGCTCGGCTGTGTGACAGACTGAGAGGCTCTGATAACCTCAGCTCAGTGAGGTAAAGGGACACCTTTATATGATCATTATAGTTATACAAAAACGGAGATGGAGCACTCGAGTCCTGGACTCTGACTCGAGTGCTGAATTTCGGGACTCAACTCACGCACTGATTGAAGCGGACTCGACTCGGACTCGTGAATTCTCGCGCGTGATGACTCTGACTCTGGAATTTTTAACCCACGATGACTCGGACTCGACTTGTACATTGACGCTCCGACTTGGACTCGGACTCGAGCAAGTTTTGTCTCGAGTCACTTAATTAGCGGTGTAAATAGAACAACGATTTACATGGACTCTCCCTATACAAAGTCTCGAAAAATTAATGAGAATAGTTTATACTCACCTGTTTGCTACGAATACGTTTCCAAAACAAATGATAGTAAACTTGTTGTGTGTGTATGTTACTGTTTATAATTTGTGTTGTTAGACTTGATAATGTTTATAAGCGATTTTAAGTTGGACATTGGAGAGAGATGATTATGTTATTAATGTTATAGTTTCATTCACACACGACCACAAAAACGCCCTCTTTTTGTACGCGGACGTTGCGTGTCCACTCACCGACTCTACTATGAGCGGAGTGGAAAAAATTGTAGAGTTCGAGTGTATAAACATTGACGGTAGTAATAACCGCCTCACCCCTATATTCTATGTGACCTGAGGAAGACCATGTGTTACGACAGAAGCAATGGGGCGATTCTAACGCCGGAAAATTTTGTTCGGGACTTGTCGCCCGGGCGGTACGAGACAGTCAGACACACGAGTCAGAAGAGAGAGAGAGGATGGAGGGGGGGGGAGAGGGTTGGTACGCAGATGAAGAAACGTGGACTCGTGCAACGACTTTTTGTCTGTTGGACGACAAATTGGAACAGCCTGCTGTCCCGTCGAACGAAGAAGGACTTCGTTGGCTACGGGTCTGTTACTCTTGTTAGAGAGTGTCCCATGCCCTACACGTTCCACAACGTTCGTGAAAGCACGTTCCGGCGCGGTAGAACGACAACGGGGGAAGTACAAACTCCTGGTGAAATGACAACTCCTGTCAGGAGGTCCCGTTAACGTGCACGAGGTGTGTCCCAGAGTTGATGTCAGGAGGAGAGTAGTCATGCTTCTGAGACCCCGGTTGGTTCTCTCGATTAGAGAAAATCCACCGAGTCTTGCCACGAACAAGCGAAAGATGCGCAAGACTGAAGGCCGACACGTCCCGGGAGAGGGGGGACTCATTCCGTCGACTAAGCTGTGCGGGTGTGGAGTCTTTTTTTTTTTTTTTTTTTTTTTTTTTTTTCTCTTTTTTTTGTTTTTTTTTTTTTTTTTTTGGGACGAGTACCAGACCTGTCTGTGAAGTCCGGGAAGTTTGGATCCTAGTCGGCGACGAGCGGTCGCCTGAGAGTTCGATACGATTACAAACAAAACAGGAAACGCAAAGAGGTACAGACAAGACTTCCAGAACGGAAGTTACGAGTCTGGTACAAAATCCGCCCAGTGGAGGAGCTTCAACACGAGAGTAGTGAGACTATCTACAGTGTTTCGGTCCGGTCGTGTGACTTGTACGTTTGTTTGAAGAAGAGGAGCTCTTATAGTCTATACATGGACGGTACTATTAAAATCTCCTTTTAGTGAAAGTCGATCCTCGAACGGAAGTAAAGTGTCTGTGCTATAGAGAAACGGGAGGAGAAAAGAGAGATAAGAAGAGTTTGTGTGTCATGTTAATGTTGTGTGTGTGTGTGTGTGTGTGTGTGTTTGTATATGTGTGTGTGTGTGTGCTGTGTGTGGTGTGTGTGTGTGTGTGTGGTGTGTGTGTGTGTGTGTGTGTGTGTGTGTGTGTGTGTGGTGTGTGTGTGTGTGTGTGTGTGTAAGAAGTGTGTGTGTGTAAGAGACGAGAGAGTGTGTGTGTGTGTGTGTTGTGTGTGTGTGTCTGTGTCTGTTGGTGTGTGTGTGTGTGGTGTGTGTGTGTAATGTGGTGTGAGTGTGATGTAGTGTGGTGTGTGTGTGTGCATAAGAGCACAGAGAGTTGTGTGGTGTTAATAGAGGAGTGCTGTAATTAAGAGAGAGTGTGGATTGTGTGTGTGTGCGTGCGTGCGTGCGTGTGTGTGTGTGTGTGTGATTCATTATTTAAATGGACGGGTCGCCGAGGTCGTGACGGAAGCTGTGATTACGGTCAATCGGTCCGAGTCGACAACAACCGAACCATTGCACCAACAGAACAATACGGTCGTGTAGAGAAGTTTCCCAACACTAAGAGTCTTATACAGATTAGTAGAGGTCCACATGACGAAGGTAGACCACCAGTCGACGAGGACACACTCCTGAGAAAGAAACTGGTGCGAACGTTAAACGATATAACCAAAGCTCGGAGACGGGACGTGAACAACCGCCCGAAATACGAATATTTAATGGGTGAATGGCAAAGACGTAAAACGTTAACGCAGCAATTTGTCCTGACAGGAACCGTCTCTGGTGAACACCGTACCTAGCCAACGAGCGTTCCGTATACGACCTGTCCGTCGACGGACCTGCGACGTTAGTACAACCATATGACTGAACAACCCATGTTACAAGGGTGACAGACGCGATGGACGTATTTTCACGTGCCCGCGTCGACGACGCTATACGGCGAGGAGACAAAAGTATTGTCAGTCCGCGGTAACTCGTCTTCAGGAAGGGTGACACGCCAGTTTCTATTACGCGACCACTGGGGCGTCTATTGGCGATTAATGAGTCACTTCAGGGTATCAGAGCGCACTCGCGTTGACACGCGTTCAGAAGGAACATTAAGGAGGCAGAGAAAGCGAAAAACGCTAGTATTGGGTTCAACACATAAAAGCTGTGTCACCGCCGAAGACCTTCGGTTTGAAGTAATGCAACGTCAGCACTACGTTGGGTTTAATATAGTGCGTCAAAGGAGCAGGAGGTGTTAAGAAAATAACCGACGTTCGACATCGGTGGGTAAATCGCTAGGCGACATCTCTCGAACGACCGCGGCACTGCACGAGGTCGCGCAGAGGGCCTTTTCCAACAGCACGGCGTCGTGACGCCCGTCGCTCGCCCCGACAGTCGGTAGTTTACAAACACGAACCGAAACGGTCTACTATAAATAATGTGCATCACATGAGGAATACCATTGAGTTAAGTGTAACTGTCATTTACCGCTTAATGACAGACGCAGACCAGATGTCTTGGGAAGACCATCCCGACAGACTCGGACTTGGAACGGCAAATTTTTATGGAAAAAGAGACCGAGGTATTATACTTAGAGAGACGAGC